GCTTTGGGATTAATATTTTCTAAAATCTCCCCCAGATGATTCTAACCTGCATCCACTGAGAACCCCTGTACTAGGCAGTTGATCGTTTAACACTCTAGCACACTGAGTAAGACAGGCTTTTGTAAGGAGACATTTGGGAGCAGTGTGGGGGTGTATAGGCGTTTGGAGGGCATGCGTGTATTATGTACATGCTGTGTGTGGACATGTTCACATATGTATGACATGTACACTCAAATGTACAATGTGTGTGACACATAAGAATGCAGGTGAAGGCAGAAATAGCACTAGCCCTGAGATATTCTCCTCACTGAGGTAACTTCTGCGATTGAATGCTACTTTCTCTTAGTTATTACTTTAAAATCTGTTTTAAAACATCGATATTATAACATTTTTTAAGTAACCAAACCAAACCCATTACCATCAAGTCGATTTTGACTCATAGCAATCCTATAGGACAGAGTAGAACTTCCCCATAGAGTTTTCAAGGAGCAGCTGGTGGATTCGAACTGCCGACCTTTTGGTTAGCAGCTGTAACTCTTAACCACTGTGCCACCAGAGCTCCAAAACACTGGTGTTTTTAAAGTCCTAAGTTTAACAAGCTTCCTCAATGCGTATGGCACTCTACAGAATCCTGGCAGCAATTGTTCCCTTCTTGCATCTGATACTTCTTAGGCAATCTCAGCTTCCTGCCTGTGAGTTATCTATACCCATCACCCTAAGATCTCCAGTCTTGATTTACTGCTTCCCAGAAGCCCATGAGACTTTCTACAGAGCTTCTCACAAAAGCTTCCACCTTTCCCCGACACTCTCAAGTCTCGTAGGTCTCATAGCTATTTTTTAACCATCCAGAAGTTCTTGAGGGCACTGTAATTGCTCCTTTAGCATTACAGCCAGCTCTGAGACCCAGGAAGCTTGAATGGAGCATTAGGGCTTGTGTGCAGGCAAAAGGGGTGTGGTGAGATGGGAGTTTAAATGTAATGAACAAAAATGAACAAAAAGGATCAGAGTTACACCATTTCTTTTAGTTCAGATTTTGTCAAATAGGCGGCCCTTAAAGTGTGTACACGGTCAAAATTAATCGACTATTTCATTTACTCTTCAGCAACAAATTATGGAGGAGTCACTATGAGCCACGGTAGCATTGAAAGGGATTCCTGTCTTCTGAGAAGTCCAAGACTAGTAGAGGATATCAAATGCCTCTAATAGTAGAACATAAAAGGGGCCGTAAGGAAGGTACAAATATCCACGTGTTTGGTTGCAAGGGGCAGAAATCCAATGAGCTTGAAGAAAAAGGAACATATTGGGGCACAGGATGGAAAAGTCTAGGGCGAGTTTGCCTTCAAACAGCTGGATCCAGATACTCAAGATCTTGGAAATTTTCTCCTACCATCTCGAGTCTCTGTTTTCCTCATTCTCAGGCAGGCTTACCTCTCGTGGTGTCGGACTGCTTTGAGCTTACTTCCTACTAGTTTAGCAAATTCCCTGTAGAGAGAGCTCTTTTCTAAGGGTTTCAACTAAAATTCTAGAAGTGAGTCTCACTGAGATGAAGTGACCATCTCTAGAGCTGGGGGGATTGGGAAAAACAGGGGATTGTCTTACCCAAACTATGTAGAATGGAGCTGGGGGGGATGTTCACTAGTAGGAAATCAAGCTGTACTTACCCAAAGAAGAAGGAGTAGATCCTAACTAGGTAAACAGTTTTTTCTCACCACAGTGAGGAAGTTTAGATGATGCTGTGGTCCGGTCCCCTGCAGGAAATCAGAGAACACTTCCCAGATGCACTGGTATTTAAACTGGGACTTCAAGAATGGGTAGGATCTGGTCATGGGAGGATGAGTGGGGTGAAGGAGAGGGCCCACAGGGAAAAGAAACTCAAGAGCAGTATGACTACCAATGAACAATTTTGGATAAGATAGTTCCATGTGACCAGGTGACAACAGTGGTCCTCAGAGGTAACATTGAGTTCAGGTAGGAGAGAACCCCTGAATCCACCTTAGTAGGCCTGCCTGGGGACTGCCTCAGTGTTTCAGGGTCAATGATATGATTTCCTGTAAATAAGCAGGACAAGCAATTTTAAGTGACCTAAATATCACATCAAAGTCACTCCTTGATTAAAAACACACAAGTGAAATATCTATATAAGCTGCTGAGAAAGTTGAACTATTCTGCAGCCTGGGATATAATTTGTGAAGTAAATTTGTTTTATATACACACATAGATATGTATACATACATATATATATATATAAAACCTCCTCCTCACATGGAAACCCTGGTGGCATAGTAGTTAAGAGCTACGGCAGCTAACCAGAACGTTGGCAGTTCAAATCCACCAGGCACTCCTTGGAAACCCTATGGGAGTTCCACTCTATTCTATAGGGTTGCTATGAGTAGGATTCGACTTGATGGCTATGGGTTTTTCTCCTCACTTATCAACTGTCTCATTATCCAACATTTCCCATTTACAACAACAGTAACAAATCTACTATCTGACAATTTTGCACATTGATGACGTACATACATGTGGCAGTAATGAACTCCGAGGTGCAAAGCAAGAATAATGCTGGCTATGATGGTTAAGGTTATGTGCCAACTTGGCTAAGCTATGATTCTCAGTGGCTTTACAGTTACGTAAATGATGTAATTTGGTAGTTATGCAATGATGTAGTCATCCTCCATTTTGTGATCTGAATGTGGTCATCCTCCATTTTTACTTAACTCCGATTTTGCATAACGACCTGGTCTTTGGAAACTAACCATGTCGATAAGTGAGGAGAGGGTGTATATAATTGTTTCGCTTCTCCACGTGAGGTGAGGCAGGAGAGAACCTTCAACATTACAAGGCTCCCAATGAGCCCCATGTGAAAGGACAGGTAGACTAGTTTGAGGCACAGTATAGTACTACACAGAAAAAAGATAGTATAACCAAAACCAAACCTGTTGCCATCAAGTTGATTCCAGCTCATAGTGATCCTATAGGACAGAGCAGAACTGCCCCATAGGGTTTCCAAGGCTGTAATCTTTATGGAAGCAGACTGCCATATCTTTCTCCTGTAGAGAGGTTGGTGGGTTCAAACCACCGACCTTTTGGTTAGCAGCGGAGCACTTAACCACGGTGCCACTAGGGCTCCTTAAGAAAACTATACTGGGGTCTTAAATATAGAGTTTGGATATTTTGTTTTACATTTATGTCTTTAAAAACATAATAGACCCCCTTAAAAGCTTGTGAGCAGCCATCTAAGATACTCCACTCGTCTCATCCCTTCGGGAGCAAGGGAGAGTGAAGAGAACAGGATACAAGGAAAAGATTAGTCCAAAGGACTAATGGACCACGGCTACCAAGGCCTCCACAAGACTGAGTCCAGTACAGCTAGGTGGTGCCCGGCTACCACCACTGACTGCTCTGACTGGGATCACAACAGAGGGTTCTGGACAGAACTGGAGAAGGATGTAGAACAAAATTCTAACTCACAAAAAAATGATCAGATTTACTGGCCTAAAGGAGACTGGAGAAACCCCAAGAGTATGGCCCCCAGACACCCTTTTAGCTCAGTGGTGAAGTCACTTCAGAGGTTCACCCTGTAGCCGGGGATTGGGCAGCCCCACAAAACCAAATGGGACTAATGAGGCACAGCAGTCCAGGGACAAGGACTAGAAGGCAGAAGGGGACAGGAAAGCTGATGATAGGGAACCCAAGGTTGAGTAAGTATAGTGTTGATGTGTTGTGAGATTGTTAACCATTATCATTGGGCAACATGTGTACTAAATGTTTAATGAGAAACTGTTTTTTTCTGTACACCTTCATCTAAAGTGAGAATAGCAGCACAGTTGGAAGAGCATAGTCGATGTCACTGAACTGTGCATGTAGAAGTTTTTGAAATGGTGTTTGGCTATGTATATTTTCACACACACAAAAAAAATAAAGGTCGAGAAGGGAGAGGGTTGACATGTCATGGGGTTGTTAATCAATGTCATAGAATAGTATGTGTACTACTGTTTCATGAGAAACTATTTGTTCTGTAAAGTTTCACCTGAAGTACAATAAAAAAAATAACAAATTAAAAAATATATATAATAGACCCCTACAAAGAGGGTTATTCATGGAAATCAAAACCCATGGTCTACTTCAGCAGTCATTGTAGGCATCTTTAAACATATGAGCTCTTTTTCATGGCTGAAACTTCTGGGAGGTTGTGTAATGTTGAATGCTTCCAAGGCTCAAATCAGGAGCCAGATAACAGCTCCAGCCTAGAAATGCTTCCGAATCTCCAAGGTTCTCTTACTTAAAAATTTAAAATTCCAAGTATATCTTCCTTGAACACCTCAATTCACAGTCATATCAACAGTGAATTTTTATTTTATTTTAGACTCCTCTTCTTGGGCAAATTATACATGGGAGGCAATTTTGACATATAATAGATAACCATTTTTAGCCAGTCCTTCCTCTCAACAAATAAAAAAAGAACTAGGAACCAGAGCCAAAGAGATCAGAGAAACAAAAACAACCGCAACCAATATTTATTCTTGATTTTTGTCCCTACTTGTTTCATGCATCCTTATTTTTCTCCACCCATTAAATAGGTAATAACCAAAACTTGACTAATATACACATAAAGAAAACATGCATAGCATGGTAAGTAGTGAGTAAACCTGGTCAGTTTTTGGGTTTCTGTACCAAGGTTTATAAAATGGGGCTGGCCTCTGGGAAAACACAGCAGCTTGTTTGAATACCTTCTGTAGATCTGTGTCATTCCCAAGTTAAAAAAAAAAAAACCTCAGTGAAAGAGTGACATGGTAAAAGAGGACTAATAACAACACAGAAGAGTTTTTGTTCACCCTAAGGGAGAAGGCTGCTGGTTAATTTTTCTCTGAGAACCCTACTTTCTTCTTTTCCCCTGACAAATGTTTTTAAATTAATGAAGTACCAAGCGAGACATCAATAAGTGGGACAAAAGATAGAATTGGAAAAAGCATAAATGGGATGCGGAAAGTTCTGTGGTGGATAACTAATAAACAAAGCTCCTTATGAAGAAAAAATGTACCGAATATTTAATCAGCCCATCTTTCCCTAAGGGGGAAAAACAGATACATTTTTGTTTTGGTATAAGTAGCTAAGACTCTTGCAGAGGGGAAAAATGTCATGGGAAGATGGAAAATGTCTCTAACATGTACAGCACATGAAATATCTAAGAGTAGTAAAATATTAGAGGCCAAGGGGGAATATCTGTAAAAAATTATACACATGTTGGATGAAAAGTAAAGTTTTCATTCCTTTTCAAATTCAGTTGCTCAGAGGTCTGACTTCAGATGGCTGAGCATTCTCAGTATTAGCCTTGCCTTTATTCATCTTCATGCGGATAAACACAACTGCTAAAATTATACCTAAAAGAGAAAATTCATGGTCAAATAGATGGAATCTTAAAAATGTACTGTCAGATTCATTTATAAAGTAGTATCATGGTAGGAAAAAATGACTCATGTAACTTCATTCTTGTTTGTGATTCAACGAAGTTTCATTGCCCTGGTGAATAAGGAACCCCAGGCATTTGCCTTCTCAGACAAGCAAGCTTATCACTTATCTTTTTTTAGTAAGTATCTACCAAGCTCCAAATCATGCCTGACCTGGTGACTGTCACTGGTTCTCTATCAAGGAATATATGACCTAATGCCCTGCCTACTCTAAGGACTAAATAAAATAAGTACGTAAGCATCTGACAGAGTTCCTGAACTTTGTATGCACTCAATAAATATAGATTCCAGTTCTTCTTCCTCTTCCCTAGAAGAAACAGTCTAATCAGAACAACCAGGTGTAGGTGAACTGTTCGCCTACCTAAAGCCTACTTTCCTTGGGTCCACACCAAGTATCACATTTTCTTTTGTACTTTCTCCATGACTCCAGCCTATATTGTTGAGAGACCTTGAGTCGACTACCTAACATTTCTGGTTTCTCCCATTTCTGAACTCCTACAAAATTAGATTGTGTTTATTAGCACTAAATGTATACTATAAATCAGAGACCAATATGAAAAAGGGAGTTATTTTTAAAAAATTAACCTGGTATTAAAAGAGGAATCATGACAGAAAAAACTAGAAACTCAGAGACATGTCAAGAATCTTGTAACAACCCCAACTCTCATTTTAAAAGAGTAAGGATATGAAACTGTAAGATCTCAGTACTTCTAATTCCGTATATCCTCAAACTCTTACAACTTTTAACTCGTGGTAAAATTATGGAGTTAAATGGCTGTGTTAAAAAATGCTATTTGGTGTATAAACTTAAAAATTCTTTCAAAGTAGGAAAGCAAATTGGGTAAGAAATGGTACAGAGGTCATATATTCCTTGACAGAACCAGGCAGTAGTTCTCAGGCAGACATGATGCTCACCACACACATTTAGATGGGTACAGGCCATGCCGTGAAGGGCCTTCCATGTCGTAATAGGGAGTTTGGACTGACAGGAATACAGAAATGAGATCCCTGTTAGAACCATGAATCAGAGTTTAATGTTATAGAATGGATGGTAGGAGAAAAGACCAGATGCTGAGAGAACAATCAAGGCTATTTAGAAAAACCACACAGATTTTTTAAAAGAGAAAAGACATGAAACTGGGTAACACCCTTTAGTTCTGTTCCTGTGTATCCCAAACCCTTCACTTGGGGGCACACGAATTGATGAAGTATCTATATCCAGTCTTTAACTTGTGTTGAGGACAACAGTAAAAAGAGAGTAATTACTGTAGTAGACACTGAGCTGTTCACAAAAAATGAAACAGCTAGAACAGACGACTCTGCTGTCTTTCCAAGCCGGAGGCCACGGCAGAGTCAGGGCTGTGATGTAATGGAGTTAGTCTAGGGCAATAAAGAATCAGGGTTCACAGCTATGAAAACATACTAAGGGAAACTCTACAACATTTCAGGTATGTAGGTATCTCCACTATAAGGCTAACTTCCACCTATTTAAACAACGACAGACTAGAATATTTAACTCTGAGTATAGGATCTGTGTACATCTTGCCCATCACTGTATCCCCAATATCAAGCACCATGCCTGACACATAGCAAAGGAACAGATACTGCCTTTCCTTCTCCTTCATCATGAAAACTTGGCAAGTGGGTATAACATATAACAATTTATGCTTTAAAGCGTCTTATGTTGTATTTCCCAACTAACCAATAAGGTGATGATGGGTAGAGGGTGGTACTAAAGCAGTATCTCCCAATCAGGAACATTTGATAGGGTTCACTGGTGATCTATATCCTTGGCTATTGCTTAGATTGCCATTTGCCATACAGACCAGCCCAGGAAAACAGGCCCTGAGGTAAGCTTATGTTTCTGAGGCCCAGGAAAGGAATAATTGAACCTGAGAAATTATACTCACCCATGACCAATAGGGTGGTCAGGATTGTACCAACTGCCATGCCCACAGTGGGCCTCCCACGTAGGCGACCTACTGGCCGGAAACACCTTCCTTCCACACATGAGCAAAAAGTAACTGGAAAGCAGAAGAGTATTTGGTAGTACACTTTTTTAAGTGAATATTTGCATAATTCTACATCAAAAAAAGAATTCCCTCGAACTACCCATGGTGACAGACACCATCCTGAGTTGCCTGCAATAAAATACCTACTTGATAAAGAGACAGCCCCTTGCATGGGTGGCTGACCCACATCACTGATGAGGACTGAGATATTGTAAACTTTCTCTTCAAAGTCTGTGTGCCTGCTGGAGAGTCTGGCATGAGTGCCTGTCAGAACAAGAAAAAAATGAATGACGTAAAAGCAGAACTTTAGACCCCTGGATCACCAGGAATAAAACTCGTCTTTTCATCATATACGAAGGTTGACTGGGAATTGGTTAGGTATGCTATGGAGTTAAGGCATCCGAAGTGCCATCACTGTACTTGTACTTTCTCATAATGTTAAAAAAAAGAGCTAAAGCATCCTGTAAGTCGTCAATTCATGGTTGCTGTATAGAAATGAAACAGGAAATATACACAACATGGTTATTAGAGACTACCTAACGGAGGATCTATAGATCTGATCCTGAGTTTCAAATCTGTCACTTGTTAGCTATGTAACATTGGATAAGCTATAACATCTGTAGGTCTCAGAATCCCTTCAAGTCCTGAAATAAGGGGATGAATGATATTCTACCTGATTTTCAGGGTATTTAGTATTTTTTCCTTCTCTTGCAGAAAATTAAGAGTAAAAACTAACATGAAGGATCAAATTTCTAAAGACGGTTTTGGTCTCGTAACTCATTCTTCTTATAGCTTCCCCTGTTCATGTATCTGCCTAGATTTTTCTTCCAGCATTTGGGGAGATGTTTTTATACTTAAAAATTATTACGGCCCACACTTCCACACCTAGACAAGGCGGAGTAACAGGAATGAGTTTTACCATCCCAACTGAAACAACTTAAAAATAATACAAAATGTAGGAAATCATGTTTTTATAAAGACATTGGACATCAGACAACGAGAAAAGATAAATAAATGAAGTCAGTCCTACAATGTCCCCAGCTTATGGCCTAAAGAGAGTGTCGAGGTCTCAGGGGGCCCCAGGCAGAGCCCAGTGATTTCCTTGAGTTGAGGAGAGGGAACTGGAGTAGGGCGAGGTCAAAGAAGCTAGAGTTCACAGAGAAGAATATCAGAACAAAGAGAACTGCATAAAGAGAGCTGTGGAGATCTGCAGAGGGTCCCCTGAAGTCTTCAGCTGAAAACCGATCACAGCATATATATGAGGATACTACCCAAGTCTGGGGAAAGAACCTGAAAGGGTAAGAGGGAGCAATCCTCGGAGCTCACAAAGGGTCAGGAATAGTTCCTGTTCCTACAAGTCAGAGTGGAAAATGTGATGACTTACGGGGCATCAGGTAGAGTACACAGAAGGGTTTTGCCTCAAAAGATTGGAAACGTTGTTGTTGTTAGGTGCTGTCAAGTCAGTTCCGACTCATAGCGACCCTATGCACCACAGCCCGAAACACTGCCTGGTCCTGCACCAGACTCACAATCGTTGTTCCGCTTAAGCCCATTGTTGCAGCCATGGTGTCAATCCATCAAAATTAGTCATAGATTAAATGCTGCCCTGGTCATGTCTAACAAAACTTTAAAGCAATGTGTAAAAAGATGAAACTATTTCCAAGTAACTTAACTATGTTTCAGAACAAAGCTCAAGAATGTTTATGGGAATCAAAAATATTCAGTGTCCAAAAAGGTAAAATTCACAGTGCCAAATATCTAACAAAATATTTCTAGATACACAAGAAAGCAGGAAAACATGACCCATAATGAGAAGAAATATCAATCAAAACCACCCCAGAAATGACACATATGATATAAATAGTAGACAAGGACATAATAATTTGAAAAATAAAATAAAATTGGAAAAATTATACTACCTGATTTTAAGCATTATTAGAAAGCTACAGTAATCAAGATAGTGTGGATTTGGTATGAAGATAGACAAATAGACCGATGAACAGAAAAGGAAGTCCACAAATAGACTCACATATATAAGGTGACTTGATTTTTGACAAAGTTACCAAGACAATGCAATGTGAAAGGATAATTTTTCATTATATGTAAAAATTAAGTTTAAATGAAACATAGAACAAAATGTAAAAGATAAAATTATAAAGCTTCTAGAAAAAAATAGAAGAATGTTTTAGTGACCTTGGGTTTGGCAAAAATTTCGTAAACATCATACCAAAAAAATCACAAATTATACAGGAAAAAAATCAATAAATCAGACTTCATCAAAAATTTAAAATTTTTCTCTCCAAAAGACACTGTTACAAAAATGAAAATGCAAGCCACGGCCTGGGAGAAAATATTTGCAGAACATATATCTGACAAAGCACTTGCATCTAGAATATGTAAAGAACACTTACAACTCAACTGTAGGAGTCAAACAATGTAATTTTTAAAACGAGCACAATATTTGACCAGACATTAAGCCAGTGAAGATATAGGGGTGGCAAATCAGCACATGAAAAGATGCTCAACACCAGTAGTATTAGGCAAACATAAATTAATACCATAATGAGATACTATACTCCTGCTAAATAAAAACAAAAACCCTATTGCTGTCAAGTCGATTCCAACTCAAAGCAACCCTATAGGACTGAGTAGAACTACCCCATAGGGTTTTCAAAAAGTAGTTGGTGGATTCGAACTGCTGACCTTTTGGTCCTTTTAGTCCTGCTAGCATGGCTAAAATTACAACAACTGAGTATAGCAAGTGTTGGAGACAATGTTGAGCAACTGGAATTCTCATACACTGGCGCGTATGTAAAATGTTACCAACACTTTGAAAATCGTTTGATATTCTCTTAAAAACTCAGCCATACACCTACCACATAACCTAGTCAGCCCACTCCTAGGTATTTAACCAAGAAAAATGAAAGCATACATCCCTACAAAATACTTCTTCACAAATGTTCGTATTAGCTTTATTTGTAATAGCCAAAAATTGGAAACAATCTAAACGACCATTAAGAGGTGAATGGATAAACAAAGTGTGATATAGTCATACAACGGAATACTACTCAGCAATAAAAAGGGATGAAGCACACACCACAACATGGATAAATCTCAAAATAATTACTCTAAGTGAAAGAAGCCAGACATAAAAAGAGTAATATACTGTATTGTTCCATTTAGATAAAATTCTTGAAAATGTAAACTTACCTATAATCACAGAAAGCAGGTAGGAGGTTGCCTGGAGGATGGGCAGGGAGAGGTGGGAAGGAGGGATTCCAGTAGGGCATGAAAAAACATTTGGGGGTGATGGAAATATTATCTTGATGGTGGTGATGGCTTCAGTGGGGTATACATATATTAACTCTTATAAAGCACACTTTAAACATTGGCAGTTTACTGTGTATTAATTATATTTCACTAAAGCTGTTTTTAAAAATTATTATGACATCTGTTTCTCATTGGAAAATTTGCAAATGCTGCTCAGATTGTCCAGCTCTCCATCTACACTCAGGGGGATGCTGTGTGGGAACCCTCTTTCCTCCCTCCAAAGCCCAAGGCATTCTTCCCTCTGGAGAGCTTCCCCTAGCAGATTTCAACAACATAAGCTTCCTTCCTAGAACGTAGACAGAAGTTCTGTGCTCAGTATTGCAAGCCCACCGAGGAAATGAAAGCTAATTCCATCATCCATCAGTGTTAATCTCAACGTACGTTTTGACAACTCACCATTGATTTTGGAAACTTCCCAGTCCTTTTGTAGACTCTCACTGCGAAGGGCAAATGTAAACTGTGGGCCTCGAAATGACTGCTGATCATCATCAGTGGCTTCGAAAATGAAACTTTCAGGTGCTTTGAGAGGATGGCAGAAGAAGACGCCTGTGTAGTCCTTGGCTAGCCGGGGGGCGTTGTCATTCACATCCATTAGGGTCAGGTGGAAACTCGCCGTGGATGCCAAGGAGGAGCCACCTGAAAAACGGGATGATTGAAACTCTTAGCAATGCTCTCCTTTTTCTTTTTAATAAAATGAAACCAGTTGCTGTTGAGTTGACTCCGACTCATGGCAACCCCACGTGTGCAGAGTAGAACTGCTCCATAGGGTTTTCAGTGGCTGATTTTCAGTAGATCACCAGGCCTTTCTTCCAAGGCACCTCTGGGTGGACACGAACCTCTATCCTTTTGGTTAGCACCTGAATGTGTTAACCATTTGCACCACCCAAGGACTCCTTTTTAATAAGAAAGGATATTTTTCTTTCTTAGGAAAAAAAATTATAATTCAAATAGCTAGGAATATTGAGGCGGTAGAAAGAACACACACTTTTGAAATCAAAAGATCTGGTTTCATTACTGCTTAAAACACCTTAATGATAATAATAACTAAGATTTATGTGCCAAAGGCTGTGCTCATATATTACATGTATTACTTCAAAATATCTCTGATATATACTTACAGATGAGAAAACTGAGGTTCAGAGAAGTTATGTGACTTGCTCAAGGACACGCAGCTCATAAGTGGTAGAGAAGTTTCCAGTCCAGGAAGTAACTCTAGAGACCATAGCCCCAGTTGCTCCTCAACACTGCCTTAGGCACGTTAGTCAACTTCCTAAGCCTTATCTCTTCATCTGTATAACACATCCTTTTTGTAAGAATTGAACTTGTAGGTGAATGTTCTCAGAAAACAGTAAAGGCTGCACAAAGGTTAATTATTCTGGCGCAGTGGCATAGAGGGGGGCATTGGTGGTTCAGTGGCAGAATTCTCACCTTCCATGTGGAAGACTCAGGTTCAGTTCCCAGCCAATGAACCTCATGCACAGCCACCACCCGTCTGTCAGAGAAGGCTTGCATGTTGTTATGATACTGAACAGGTTTCAGCAGAGCTTCCAGACTAACATGGACTCGGAAGAAAGGTCTGGCTATTTGCTTCAGAAAATCAGCCAAAGAAAACCCTATGGATCACAATGGTCCCATCGGAAACTGGTCGTAGCAATGGTGCATGACCAGAAAGCATTTTGTTCTGTTGTGCACGAGGTTGCCATGAGTCCAGGGCCTATATGACAGCAGCTAACAACAACAAGAAGTAGTGAAGAACTTGGATTCGGCAGCCTGACCACTTGGTAGCTGTGTGATCTCAGGCAGCTTAATTTCTGAGTGCCTTGGTTTTCTCATCTGTAAAATGTGGTCAGTATTAATGTTGTCTTCACAGAGTTGTGTGAGGAATAGGTAAATAAGTTATTACCCTCAGTGCTTAGAACATGGCTGTAACTGCAGCAGAGACATTGGCTGTTACCATTTTCCCCATGATGTCAATCTCAGATACCATTTCTACAACGTCTGACGCCAACCTGCTTCTATTCTACTAAACCCTGCTTTCTGGCTTTTCTTCTCAATTGTCATCTCCTGACTACACTTAACAAAAGGAGTATAAAACCACTTGTGTTCCTCAAACTATTTCACCTATTTGTATCATTTCAATACCAAGAACTGGAGGTGAGGCAGGGTTTTGGAGCCTGGTTTTGATTCATGAAACTTCTAAAATGTGAGAGGCTCTTACAAAGGCATTCAAGATGAAGTGTTGAATTTGTCCCAAAACAAAGATGAGAAGGCAGGAAGGGGTAAAAAATCTGAATGAAAGGAAATGGGGAACCCAGGGTGGGAATGGGAAGAGTAGTGACACATTGTGGGGAATGCAGTCCATGTCATGGAACACTTTATGTACAAATTATCAAACAGTAAACTAATTTTCTCTACAAAATTTCTCCTAAAGCCCAATAAAAAATTTTAAAAAACAGAGTGAAATATTGATCCCCGTGGTATGTTGTAGGGGAGAGAACAGTGCAAAGGCTCAGCCAGAAACTTCCTGCTGATTAATCGGGAGCTTTTAAATCAAGAATTAAACGTATACAACATTGAAGTGGAGTATGCTTAACTTGAAGCAAACAAGGGAGAAAGAGAGCCCAGCCCAAAGCAAGGCCCACTCGGCTCTCCCACCGTTGTTCCAAATTTGGCACATGGTTTTACTTTCTACCTTCTTTGGTTTAACTTGACCACAACACTTCCGTGTTACTTAATCTTTTTATACGCAGAAATCATTTTTAGGATTCTTTCTCTGTTCCTTATTCCAGCTCCCAACCCTGGGATTCACCTTTTGAGCTTGTTTTGGGGTCTAAAACTGTACTTATCTAGTAATAATTCATCCAATTCTCTCTTTTTTCTGTGAACCAAGCAGATATATTTACCAGCTATTTAGAACCTCTGATCAGCATAAGATCAACAGAACTTCCATCCTAAGTTGACTCAATTCCACTTAAATGCAAAGAATCTCAATGTTTTACATTCCTGCCTTATCACTGATAAGTATGATATTTCTGTGAGGTTTTTTGTTTGTTTTTAATATTGAAAATTCCCTAGAACTGTATATTTGGAACCAGTAGGCCATATATATCACCACAACTGAATTGAACAAGATGCAAAGATTACATGGGGATTGTTCAAACATCCTTGGCTTATATATATAATATTCTTTCTTCTCAAAAATTCACCCCATTCTACCAAAACACAGATAGCCAGGTCCACCCAAGACCTCCT